TCAGTACCGAAAATTTCTCTTGGGCATCGCTTGCCACTCATCTACTCGCCTACTGTTGCGGCTGCGGGACGGAATAGAACTGTGGCGGAGTTGGACCAGCTCCTGGAAAATCCGTTTTTAGAGTAATAAAAGCGCAACTTCTAGGAAAAACCCAAAAGAATAATACAACACAACAAAATCAATGTTTAGAATGAGATAGAAAAGGATAAAAATCAAAACCAACATTCTGCTACATCACTTTCATCTGAACACACATTTAGTAGCTGCCTCTAAATTTTAGTAGATAGAGTTAAAGACTGACCATAGTGCTGCTGATAATTTTCTGCGGCCGAAGTTGTCGGCGGAGCTGCTAATTGCGTAATCCCAATGGAACTCAAAGAGGGCATTGGAAAGTTAATCGGAGGTGGTGGAGTGTACGCATTGCTGGTGGCGTTAGCGGCGCCAGTGGCGAACATCGAGGGCACAACTGATGGGATACCAGACGGGATCGAAGCTGTATAACGATACAAATACAATCGAGGAAATTCAAAAACTTCTGCAAAAAAGAAAAAAGCTTACGTGTGAGATTTGGCGGCTGTGGAGGTGGGAAATAGCTTTGAGTGGACGATGGTTGCAAATTGGGCGGCAAGGGCTGTGGTGGCTGAGGCAAAGACGAGGGAACTGGGGGAGGATAGCTGAATGAAGACTGAATTACCAAGTATTGGAAGCGACTTTGCTCATAATTGATAAGAACATAAAAGGGGCAAAACGTCACAGAAATAACAAAAAATCCAAGTCGCATCTTATTTTTTGATCCCCTATTTTGTGAACACCAAAAGAGATATTGAATAAAGACTACAATGGAAGTATTAACCAACAGAACTAGGATCTCATCTACAATATCTTACGTAGCGATTCTATCGCCGTATGCAAACTTGGATAGATTGACAAATTTCAAAGCGATAGAACTTTTCTAACTGTCCAAATCGATCAGCTACCTCGTCATTGGCATAGTGTAGGCAGCAGACGTGTATGGGACAGGAGAAGGAGCTCCTGTGGTTTGGTAAGATGGAGCCATTGTAGATGGAGGTCGGTATTGCTGGAAAAAATTATTACGTCTATCTATGGCAGAAAAGATCGTTCGTGTTCCTTACTGAATACTGCTGTTGTTGTTGCTGCTGTTGATAAGCGTTATAATCGGTGGGCTGGGTGGGAGTTTGCGGAGTTGGGTACTAAAATGATTCGGATATTTAAGAAAAAAATGAGGATTGAATTTTGAACTCACATTTTGTTGCGCAGAAGCTGGAGCTGGGGCTGGTGATGGTGCATGGCTATGGCCATGGCCTTCGTGTGAATGTCCATCGTGAGAGTGAGAATGTCCATCAGCGTGTCCATTGGAGGTCTGTGGTTGAGTCATTGGTGTAGATGTGGACAGTGGTGTGAATACGGGTGGAGCAGGCGGGAACGAAGTGGGTGGTAGTGGAAAGCTGCTTGGAGGTGGGATGTTAGCAGGCATGGCAAACTGACTCGGATCAGGGAACGACGATGGTGCCGGAGGCTTATTGACCTGTAAATAAAATCTTTAAGTAGCACTGAGTAAAAATTGGGAGAAAGTGAAGACTAATCTGAAGGCAGTGGACAGGAAGAATGGACTCGGATTTTGGTAAAGTTAGGTAGTAGACCCCCAAGTACACCATAGCCCAAACC